GGAATTTCCTTATGTATTTTGGGATCAGTTTGCTCATTCCTACCCAAACAAGGCTATCAAGATTTGTTTATATGATTGCCTGAACCCACAGAATAGTTAGGGGAGAACTAACAGCTTTATTGAGCTTCTGGACCCAGGAGCTTTGTGGGTTCTCTTCAGTGTGTCTGTAACACGTGACTCAGCAATGTTTTATAGGTAATGTATGTAGATTTTAAAATATATGGCTCATACTCAGGAGGTGGAAGATCAGGAGGATTGCAGTTTGAGGCCAACCTGGGGAAAAAGTTTGCCAGACCTAACTTCAAGCAATAAAAGCTGGGCCAGGTGGTGTGTACCTGTCATCCCAGATATGAGGGAAGCATAAATAGGATAGTGGTCCAGGCTGGCCTGGGAATAAATGCAAGATCCTACTAAAAAAATTGCTAAAAGCAGAAAAAGGCTGGTAACCGCAAGTGGTAGAGAGCCTGCCTAGAAAGAGCCAAGGTCTGAGTTTGAACCCCAGTACCAGCAAAAAACATATTTAGCACAACTTGTAAAGTTATTCCTAAATATTTCATCTTTCATGTTTTATAAAGGATATCACTTTATTTCAACACTCAAACATTCACCACTTGTATATAGAAACAAATTTTGAATATTGACCTTTAGCCCTGGTAGTTTGCCAGATGCACCTGTATGGTTCACCAGATTAAGTAGCTACTTTAGGATATTTTTTAAGTAGACAATCATATCACCTTCCTTTACAGTCCATAAACATTTCTTTCTTTTCATCTCCTTAAGTTACAATAGACCCAGAGGTATGACAGCCCTCCAAGATAATGTTGAATAGAAATGGTAAAACTAGATGATGTCAGCTTGTTATTAAATACACAGTCGCTCCGAATCCCTCGTTTTCCTCAGTTCCTGAGACGTCAATTCTTCCATGAGAAGCCATAGTTCCTTTGCATCACCCCATCCCTGCTCTCTACAGCTTAGTGATCTGCATGTGGAGAACAGTTTTTGGGATCCCTGAAATTGACCTCATTGGCCCATGTATCTGCCACATCTTAGGAGATTTACAAATATTCTTCCTTCTCTGTAACTGCCTTGCCTCCTCAGTATGTGTTCCAATTCCTTTGTGCCATTAGTTTCTACTTGTCATCTTTCTCTTTGTTATTAATATTTGCATTCAAGAGCTGTATTCTTAGGGTTAGACATCTAAAAATTTGGTGTTTGGAAAGCCTCAGAGTGGCTATATTAATCTAGTCTAGGTCTAAATCAAGCACTTAGGCTGGTATGAACCCCAATCTAAAGGCCAGTTAAAGCCAAGTCATGGGTTCTCTATTCTATCCCAAAAGCCTTGCCTGTTGTGCTTTAAAAAAAAAAAAAAGAAATAACTTAAAATTGTGTAACTTACTGCCCTGCTATTCTTGAAAGCTCTCTGATTTATTTGAAGAACCTTTAAAACCCCTCTTAGTTTTTATCTTCCCCAGAAATAATATCATATGCCTAAATAAAAGTGCAAACTGGTTAATTTTAAAACATCCTACAAAGTTAATGCAGAAAACATTAAGTGATTAGGTCATTTATATATATACACATATATGTATATATTTTTTCTTGGTGATGCTAGGGTTTGAACTCAGGGCCTCATGCTTGCTAGGCAGGCACTCTACCACTTGAGTCACTCTGCCAGACTGCTATATTTCCTAAATAAGCTGAAAAATAAAATAAAAACACAACACTTTATACACTTTATATTTCTCTTTATACAATCTGGAATCATACACAGTTCTTTTCTTTTTAAAGCACAATGCTGAATGTTTAAAAGTATTTAGTCCAGCGAATATAAAATGCATTTGTCTGTATAAAGAGAAAATGAAATTTTAGTCAGTTATATAGTGACATTAATTACAACCTAGTTTTAATTCTTAAAACAATTTTGATTAGCAAAGCTAAAAAGCAGGTATCTCAGTTAAATGTTTTAAAAACTGTTATAAAGACATATTGTTCTGTAGAAATAACCTATTAAATATTGTTTATCCCTCCCCTCTGTACATTTTGTTAAAAAAAAAGGAAAATACGTAAAAAGAAAATCATACAGGGTTGTGTGGCATTACTGAAATTGTGTACTTGGGAACAACCTGCAAAAAGAAAAACCAGAATATTTTCCTGTTTTAAAATAAGGTAAGTAATATGAATGACTTAAGCTAATATGCAGTTAATTTACAAATACCAAAAGTCTGAGCCTCCATTCACATGGGCGACAGATCACTGGCCAGCTGCTCACCACATCCCTCTCACTGAAGCCTTGCTCTACTTCCTCACTCTGTTGATACAAATAACTACTTCTTGCTCTTGCTTTTCAAAGCTATCTTCGCTTTCACTGAAGTTTTGACTTTCTATAAACCGTGAAACAAAATTAGAAGGTTGCTTATATGGCTGGCTAGAATATTGAAAGGGTATTTAGATAAGGTGTGGGAGTATGGGGGTGGTTCGTGCAATGCTGAGGATCAAATGTAGTACCTTTCATATGCTGGACAAGCACTCTACCACTGAGTTATAGCCTTACCCCTTACTTTTCATATTGTTTTACTGCTTTTGTTTGTTTTAAGACAGGTTCTCACTGTGTAGTTCAGGCTGGCCTCAAATTCAAGATCCTCCTGCCTCAGCCTCCTGCATGCTAGGATTACACACCCGGCACCACACAGCTTAACTAAAAAAGAATAGTCTTATCTCTTTACTCAAGAAGTACTCTGCTGTCTCTTAATTTTTTTATGTGTCAACTCCTAGATCTCTTATTTTTATAGATTTTCCTGATAAAAATTTAAGAACTTATAAAACTTAATAGTTATTCTGGGATAGTGAATTTATTACCCAGTTTTATGGTTTGGTAAGTGTCCTCCAAAGGTCCACGTTTAGGGACTAGTCCCAGCCCGTGGTGGTATTGGGAGGTGGTGGTAGGAAATGAGGTCACTGTGCGTGTTCCCATGAGGATGTTGGAACTAAGTCCCTTTCTTCTTGGCTCCTGGCTGCCACACGAGTGGCTTCCTTCCATTCACAATCCCACCATGATTTACTGTCTCACCACAGGCTCTAAAGAACAAGCCAAGCCAGGTGCAAGTGGATAACACCTGTAATCCTAGCCACTCATGAGGCAGAGATCAGGAGTATTGCAGTTTGAAACCAACCCTGGGCAAATAGTTTGCAAGACCCTATCTCAAAAATATCCATCACAAAAAAGGGCTGGGAGAGTGGATGAAGTGGTAGTGTACCTACCTATAGAAAGTGCAAGGCCCTGAGTTCAACCCCAAAACTACCAAAAACAAACAAAACAAACAGGCCAACTGACCAAGGACTGAAACCTCCAAAACTGAGCCAAAATAAACCTTTTCACTTTATAAGTAGATTTAAGACTGGTACCAGTCTTAAATAAGAAACTAACAGAGCAATGAAAGGAGCCCATAAACAAACTGTCATGTTTATATGCAGATTTGTTCTCTTGAAAAGAATAAAGTGCTAAAAAAACTGAATACCCATGCACAAAATAATGAAGTTGAATTCTTACCTCATAACATGCAAAAATGAGATCAAGGGGCTGGGGTTGTACTCATGCAGAAAAGCATAAAGAAATGTTTGTACAGTATACACAAAGCCCTGAGTTTGATCCCAGCACTGAACACAAATGGATAAAAGACCTAGATGTATTAAGCAAAGCTATAAAAATCTTAGAAGAAAACCCAGCAAGAAAGTTTCATGACACTGGACTTAGCAGTAATTTCTTAGACATGATCAAAGCATAAGGACAAGTCTGAAATAAATATGCTGAACTCCTGTACAAAAACTTAAAACTCCTGTACAAAAGAGGACATAGCAGAGCACAAAGGAGGCAGAGTGAACAGAAGCATCTGAAACACACTGCATATCTGATGAGGGGCCAAAAAGTAAGAATTCATCAAGAACTCCTACATACCACCACAACAAAGTTTTCCATAAACAAAAAAGAACTCTAATTCAAATGGCCTTTATAATTTACCCATCAATACTCAGGGGCTGTGGAAGCAATTCATTCACAGAACTTTCTACACATTTCTGGTTGATCACTTTAAGAGAGTGTTCTAATAACAAGTAACAAACAGTTTGAAACAAAATGGGCAAAGGGGGTCAGGGGTGTAGCTCATTTGTAAAATGTTTTGCATAGGTAAAGCCCTGGATTCAATGCCCAGCACTGGAGGGGTTTGAATGCACACTTCTTCAAAGAACATAACAATTAGCACATGGATGAAAATATGCTGGACATCACTAATCATTGGGGAAATGCAAATCGAAACCACAATGAAGTAACAGCTCATAGCCATCAGAAAGCCACTGTTTCAAAAAAGAAAAAGTGCTGGAGCATATGTGAGAAACTGGAACCCTGTTGTTTGGATGTGAAACAGTGCACCTGCTATGGAAAAGTGTCCCTCAAAACACCTATAAGAGCAGGTACGGTGGCACACACCTGTAATCCCACCACCAAGAGGCTGAGGCAGGAGGCTCGAGTGTGAGACCATCTAAGCTGTACAATGAGAGCCTCTCAAATGTGTGTGTGTGTATATATATGTGTATATATATATATGCCTTTTCTTATGACACAGCAATTCTACTTCTGCATATATACACAAAAAGAATGTAAGCAAGGTCTCCTAAGAGTCATTTGTGCACCCATTCTTATAGAAGCAATACACATAATAGCAAAAAACCCAAGTAATGCAATGTCCACTGATGGATGTAAAGATGCACAAAAAGTGGCGTATACCTATGATGTAATCTTATTCAGCTTTTAAAAAGATGGAAATTCTAATCATTATGACGATATTATCAGCAAAATATGTCACAAAATAGTAAGACCAAAATTTAATTTTCCTTATATGAAGTACCAGTAACAGTAAAATTCAGTGGTGATCGCCACGGGCTAGGAATAGGAAAATGAGTTTTGGACACTTATATAATGTGAATGACTTAAGACTACTGAGCTGTGCATTTAAATATGGTTATGATGGCATATTTGTTACCTGCATTTCACAATTAAATAAAAATAAATTAGTTCTTCTAAGAACTGAAGTCTTTCCACACTCCTCACAAGATCTCTACCTGCTGTGAACTTTTTGGTGCTGAATGAGATGGGAGTTTTGGTTAAAGACCCTCCCACACTCCACACACTCGTATGGCCTTTCTCCAGTGTGAATCCTCCTGTGTTTAATGAGGCTGGAGTTGTAGCTAAAGGCTTTCCCACATTGACTGCACTCATAAGGCTTTTCTCCAGTGTGGACTCTCTGGTGACTACTGAGTGTGGCGCTGTCCACAAACAATTTCCCACATTTGCTGCATTCATAAGCTCTTTCTCTAGTGTGGACTTTGTGGTGCCGAATGAGGTGAGAATTCTGGCTGAAGACTCTCCCACACTCACTGCACTCATAAGGCCTTTCTCCAATGTGATTTTTTCGATGTCTGATTTGATTAGAGTTGTGCCTAAAGAGTTTCCCACATTCACTGCACTCATAGGGCCTTTCCCCAGTGTGAACTCTCTGGTGTGTATCAAGTGTGGAGCGATACCTAAAGAATTTTCCACACTTGCTACACTCATAGGGCCTTTCTCCAGTGTGAACTCTCTGGTGACTACTGAGTGTGGAGCTGTCCATAAAGAACTTCCCACATTCACTGCACTCATAGGGCCTTTCACCAGAGTGAACTCTCTGGTGTCTATTCAATGTAAAGCAATACCTAAAGAACTTCCCACATTCATGGCATTTGTAAGGTTTTTCTCCAGTGTGAACTCTCTGATGGATGATGAGGGTGGAGCTGTCCATGAAGAACTTCCCACACTTGTTGCACTCATAGGGCCTTTCTCCAGTGTGAACTCTCTGGTGTCTGATGAGTGTGGAGCGGTACCTAAAGAACTTCCCACAGTCACTGCACTCATAAGGCTTTTCTCCAGTGTGAACTCGCTGGTGAATAATGAGGGTGGAGCTGTCTGTGAAAAATTTCCCACATTCACCACAACAATAAGGCCTTTCTCCAGAGTGAACTTTCTGGTGTCTAATGAGTGTGGAACTGTACATGAAAGATTTCCCACACTGGCTGCACTCATAAGGCCTTTCTCCAGTATGGATTTTCTGGTGACCAAGAAGGTGGGACTGTGTAAGAAAAGCCTTCCCACATTGGCTGCACTCATAAGGTCTTGGCCTGGTATGAATTCTCTGGTGCTCCATGAGGTCAGTCCTTTTTGTAATGAATCCTTCAATATGGATTTTCTGGTGTTGAACAAGGTGGGACTTTCTAATGAAGGCCTTCCCACACTTAGTGCACTCATAGGGCCTTTCTCCAGTGTGAATTTTCTGGTGTTCAACAACATTATATTTGAGACTGAAGGCTTTCCCACATTCCCCACACTTATAAGGCTTTTCTCCAGTGTGATTCCTCTGATGTTTGATGAGGTTGGAGTTATACCTAAAGAATTTCCCACATTCACTGCACTCGTAAGGCCTTTCCCCAGGGCAGATTTTTTGGTGCTCAAAATGCATATGTTGGTGGCAAAAGTCCTTCCCACAGTCTCCACAGCTAAAGTCACTTTGTCTACTTTGAAAGGCCTGGTTGTCCCTGCATGACTTCCAATCACTGAGAAAGGCCTTGTGCTGAAAAAGGTCTAAATCAGCAACAACATCCTTCTCACCCTCCCTGCTTATAAAGGTCCTCTCTGCTATGTGACCTCTGTGCTTCTTCAAAAACGAAGGCCCCTGCTCATCACTTCTGGAATGATCTGCTCTAAGATCTTGCTGGTGGTGCTGGTAAAGGTCTGCCAGACACTTGCACAATTCTTCCTCAGGGCTTGTTCCACTGTGCTCAGCCAGGTGCAAAATGTCTTTCAAAAGTGAGCTGCATGTCTCACAGGGCTGAGTCTTCTGGGTGGTCAGACCTGGCTCTGGAGTCCTGACCTGTGATGCACCTACAAAAACATCTTGCTTATAAGGTACCTCCTCATCCTTGGCTCTATGCCAACAACCTGTAAGAACAGAAATGACAGTGAAGGGCATGCTGACTTTGGTGGGAACAGGCAGCCCCATCACAAATCTGTGTCAGACACACTACAAATAAAATGTGGAAACTGAAGCTTGTGAGGGAAAGGCCTGCTGTGCAGAGCTGAGATATCCTTGTGGGAGAGCCCTACAGTGGATAAATATGCAAGGGAGGGGCAAAGAGCAAGAAGGAGGGGCACTGTCTTAGTTCACTACTCTGCAAATGGTATTGATTGGGACTGGTGGCTGCTGGTAGCTGGTGAGCAGAATAGAAGGTCTGTACAGACACAAAGATATCTGATTACAACAGAGTAGTTGTTGTTCAAAGATAACTTAGGGCCTCAAAATACCCTGAGGTCAAATGTCAAAAGTACCACAAAGGGTTAAGTAGAAGAGACCTGGTGGGAGATTAAGGCCAGAAAGATGGGATTGGAGGAGAGTCAGGGGCTCAGGTAGGATACTGGGGGCGGTGGTGCATAAAACTGGACAGATGCACTCTGTGATTTGTACCCAGCTCTAACACCAATCCCTTTCCCAGCTCCCACTCATTCTTTTGAGCTTCTCTTGCCATTCCTGGAGTAATATCCACTGAGTCCAGAACCTGGTACCCTCCCCCTTACTCAAAATGAACAACTATACAAGTCTGGCATAGGCTGATTCTAGATAAAAAAAGGGCAAGACAGTGGTCAGCACACACCCAGAACAATACAACCCAGGACATCTGCATTATAAAACCCTCTTAATTCTCACAAGTAGTAGCCACATAGGTGCCTGAAATTCCTGGTATGGACAGGTCCTAAGAGTGTCAGCAACAAGAAAGGGAGAAGGCTTTGGGCACAGAGCTTCTACACACTTAAAGAGAGTAACATGACCAGGAAAGCAAGGTTGTTGAAGGTAGGAAGAGGGGTATCTCTTAGAAAACTCCATACTTCTGACTCCTGAACCTTTAAGGCTTCAGAGCAGCAGAGGATGGGGCTGGTATTAGATAGTATGCAGATGCCAGCCCCAACTCCCACAACATATTGGTAGGAAACCAGAGAAGGAAGTAGCACCCATGATGTAGTGTGGGAAAGTTAGAGCTACGTTGGAGGCATCTTGGGGAAAAGGAATAAAACAGTCCCCACTCCCAGTGGGGTAGGGGTGAGGGCCTTACCTAATGAGGACAAAATTGTAAAATTCTCCAGCATCACGTCACAGTACAGCAGCCTCTGAGCCACATCAAGGAGTTCCCACTCCTCCTGGGAGAAATATATGGCCACATCCTCAGAGACCACACAGTCCTGTCAAAATTATGACAGTTTAGTCTATGAACAGCTTCTTGTTCTGTATTTATCTACTAACTACAAGGGCAAACTAACAAATTTGTTTCAATTTCCCTTGGGATCCAGAGCCCAAACTCAGAACTACCTCTTTCTATAACTCTTACCTTAATATTTCCCCTGCCCTAAATCAACCCAAGGCCTAGTACCACACAACTAGGTACAGTCCTATGGCTCAGGAGATGTACTCAAAGCAGCCAGTCTTAAGCTCTCTCACTCTGCCCTGCCTTGCCTTTCCTGAAACCCTAATAAAGCTTCTGATGCATACTTCCCCACAGCTACTGCTTCTCCCATAGCTCTGTGTGCTGTGGCATGCCTCCTGTACTGAGAAATGTAAAGAAATAAAAGTTACTTTCAATGTCGGTGGCTATCATCTGCATCCACAGATTAAAATCCCATGAGTGCGATCAGCCATGCACTTTCCTCTCCAGGAGCTTCAGTTCTCCCCCTTTCACATCCATCACCTACTAAGCCTCCATCCTACTTCCCAATCTGGAAGAAATACCACATCCTGATACTTTGGGGACCTGCTGTGCCCTCATTTCCCTTTATCCCTGAGCCTAGCATAGCAGAAAATGGGGGCAGGAGGAGAGGAAACATCAAAGCCTGGTAAGTGGGGCCCCACCACTCTTACATCAGCAGAGTTCCCTGGGGTGCCGGTTCTTGGCTTCAGACACACCTTTATTCATTCATTCACATGCCTCTTCCTGCATGTGGCTCTCGGGATGACACCTCCCTCTCATCTCCAGACAGGTGCAACACAGTCGGAGAGTGAAGAGCATCCATCCTCTCAGACTACATCACGGGCATTTCTCCCCAAATGCCCGGCACACTGCTCTGTGTAGGGAATCCCATTGCTCTGCGATGCTCAGAATACAAGTTTCCCTTCTGCCTGGGGCACACCCAGCCATGCTTTGATGTTCTCCTCACCTGGCCTGCTTCCTGCTTTCATCTCGGCTACCCAACCTCCACTGAGCTTCACATTCAAGCTCTCCTCTTATTCTGTGCTGAACATGTAGTCACAACCTTCTCTCTCTAACTAACCCTATCAAAGGCCAGCTTCACTCATCTTCACACTCCCACTTCCACCCCAGACATAGCCAGCCACACTTGTAGCTGATCCCACCTTCCCTCGAAGTGATCTAACAATCCAAAAGGAGCTATCTATGTGCCATGAGTCATCATAAAACCTGATGAGTCCATACAGAGATAAGCCCCACCTTGACTTCACCACTGTCTGATCATCTTGGTGGACATGCCCCAGCACCACATCATGTCCACTCTTCCCTCAGAACCATTTGTCCTCCTCCACATACCTCAGCATGCACACACACACACACACACACACACACACACCGCATACACCCTCAATCAGCCCATCCTCTCATCTGTCTTTGTGATGCCCACCGCCACCATCCAGGAGGTCAACAGAGAGACCCAGTACTCAGCAGTTTTGTTCCCTTCCCTTCTTCTCCTACAGCAATGTGTCCAGAATCGAAAGATGCCACCATCTGTCCCACAGCTTCACACTGGCTGTCAGGTAGTGAAAGTCTCCATTCTGAACACCTCATTGAACTCCAGACTTGAGTGGACAGTTGCCAACCAGGATCTCCACTTGGAGTCTCTGATACAGTTTTGACTCAGGCAAACCAAGTTCTTCATATCCCTTACTAGAATTCCACCAACCATGAAACTTACTCCATCTCAGTTGTTGGAGCACCCACCCTTTGAAACAAGACCAAAAAATGTGGGGCCATTCGAGTCTTTCTTCCATCCCACCTCCCTGGCTCACCTTCCCCATCATAAAGTGTTCACAACTCATCCAGAAGCCAGCACCTCCTCTCACCTCCACAGCTGCCACCCTTATCCAGCCACCACTGACACTGGCCTGGACCATCTCCACCTCTTATTACTTTCAGATTAGAGGCCCAGGATATCTGGCTGTCATTGCAGATCTGAATCCCACATGCCCCAACCTCCAGTCCTACTCCCTATTTGCACAAGATATAACATAGACTGGCAGTTCCCTAAGCATCCCAACTAACATTTCAACATTCTGGATCCTGTACCTGGAACACTGATACATCTTACCCCATCACTTTTCAGAGTTGGGACCATTCTATATAGTCAGGGACTGAGTTTAAAAACCCTTGGTCTTGGTAAGTACAGGGTCTTCTGACCCAGGGCAGGGAGAAGCACAGATGAAGAGTCTCAGGACATTACAATTCCCTACATCAGGGTGCCAAAGCCAACAGAGCAATAGCTTGGGTGGGTGAAAGCCTGCAATAGTGTAATTGCACTTACCTGTGCAGGGTCTGTAAGCATTTCTGCCACTTCCATGGGACTCTAGGGGGAAAGGCAAGCCATGAAAAATGGGTTACCATTGTAGAATTCTAGTGTCTGAGCTGTACCACCACTGCCCTTCCTTGGGCCAAAGTGACCTGAGGCTAAGCTACTCTTCAGATTTCAGTGCATTTAGCACACCTCTGTGACTCTGGACAAGGACTGAACCTCCTCCACTCAGCTTTAGTGCCCTTATCTATAAAATGGGGATGAGAATGGTCCCCACATTGTAATGTATCAAACATAAGCAGAACACACAATGCACAAGCAACATGATTAAAGTTTTGTGTATATTTTCAACACAAATGAAATGGAAGAGTTTTTTAAGTGTGGGTATTTTTCCCACTTTTTTATTGGGCTGGGTTTTTTTCTTTTAAAGATGCAATCTTCCTCACTAGTGTGGTAGTACACATCTGTAATCCCAGATACTCAGGAGGTGAAGGCAGGGGCATTATCAAGGTCAGCTCCATCAAAGTTAGCAAGACCTTATCCCCAAAATAAAATACAAACAAAACAGCTAGGGGTGTGTTTCTAGTGGCAGAGCACTTACTCACCATGAAAGAGCCCCTGGGTTGAATCTCCAGTGGGTAGGAAGAACCATCCACCAAAAGGAAACACATTAACATTCCAAAATAAATGAACATTCCAAAAAATTAAGTGTTTAAATAAATTTAATTTCCTGATCACACTAATTTTTAAATGCCTCGTTATACATATAGATTTGGAAAAATATTGTTTAGTGTTTAAATCAGCAATGGTTTTATTCATTCATAGTGATTGAGTTGTAAGAAGAGGCTGAACAGGCAGGTCAGTCACCGGTCCCTTCAGCAACCCCTGCCTGTTCGGTAATGTTCTGAAGGATGCTTGCTGGGGTCCCTTGACTGGGATAGAAGATGTGAGGAAACAAACCATGCCCTGAACTGGGCCAAATACGCCATTATCCCAGCTGACTTTTCCCTTGTTCCACAGACAATGTCCCTGAGGGTCTGTCTACCACAACTCACCTCCATTCCAAATCATCTCCTTACTCCATCCAGCCTCCCTTTGTATAAACACAGACCCTAACTCTTAAGGCAGATCTGCTCCTTTCTGGAGCAGGCATGTCATCCCATCTCCCCAAGTGTGCTCTCCAAGACTATACTGCCACCCCTCCGGTCCAGCCTTCACCATGATACATCCAGGGTCTTGTGTAGTGGCCTTCCCCTGTCTTCACTCCCTGTCCCCTTTTCCCTCCCAACTTTAAACTTCTAATACTGGGCAGACTAATCCTACAACTCATCCGCTCTCCCTGCGCCGTCTCCAATAGCTTTCTGCTATTCGGGCAGCCACTCCAGCAGACTCCACCTCACCCGGTTTCTCCCGAAGCCGCAGCCTCGGGAGCACCTGCCGGCCTTTGTGCGTGCGGGTCACAACGGCTGGAACGGGCAGCGCCACGCAAGGGCACAGGGGCCTGACCTGCCCTGACCTATGGGGTTCGGGTGGGGAAGGAGGGCCTGGGAACGCAGCACCCACCTGCGTCGAGCTCATGGGCGTGGCCTCGGTCTACCGACCCAAGGAAGAACAACAGCAACGGGTGACCGTGATGGAGACAAAAGCACGGGAGTCCCCAAACCAGCTCAGTCAAGCCTCACTGTCGCCTGCGGGCAACGCGGACAACGCTTCTTCTCCCTTTTCTCTAGTTCTGTCACCGCTTTCAACATCAAGCACTCCTAAAGAGCGGTCAAAAATGCCACCGCCAACCGGAAGTCACCGGAAGTCCCGCCCCGACATGTGCGTGAACACGTAAACGTGCCTATGCTGGGTTTTCATTAGCTCAGTTCGCTGCCTCTTCGCGCCGCAGAAACTTCTGGGTAATGTAGTTCCTGTCCCACTTCCTTCTCTGGCTTAGTGTGGGTCCCTTGAAACCTTGTTTAAAAGCGAAGAGGAACTTTAAAGGGGCATTGAAAATAGGGATTCGGGCTCGTGGATTGGTTCGCGTGGTAGAGCGCCTGCCTAACAACTGTGAGGCCCTTAGTTCAAACCCTGAGAAAAGGTGTTCTGGGGGGTCCAAGGATGGCGCAGTCTAAAATAAGTGTTTCAGAGAATTGTTATTTGGGAGTCTATAAAGTATGACAAGTTCCCCCAAGAATAATCTTCCAGAAACACACATCAGACCATAATCACACTTGACGTCCACCCGTAAGTTATTTTGTGGCTTGCCAATGTTGGAATTAAAGACCCTCCGGTGCTGAAAACAGACACACAAGGAACAGAAAATCTTGACAAGGCAGTTTCTTTTAATCAAAACGGTGCAAGCTGAGGGGACACGTGAGCACAAAATGTTCAACAGTGGCTTCTCTTTATGTCCTTGACGCAGGATATAAAGGTGACCTGCCCCTCACCTGGGATTTGTCCAAGTCAAAGGTTCATGATCTTTCTGGATAGACTAAAAGGCTTGGGGGATGGGTTAGGGCACATAATTTGGCGGGCAATGGAGCCATGCAGGAATCTGGGAGAAGAAACAGGAACCCTTTAAACAATGCAAGTCACCTAGGATGGCGACCTGAGGAATTTTAAGGAATCCAAGAGGATGACATATACTTTGACAGAAAAGATCGTTTCGCTTACACCAAAAACAAATAGACTGGAGGAGGCTGGCTGATCAGTGATTGGGTTCCAGTCTAGGGAGCAATACTTATGTTTTTGATAGGACATGCAGCCATGACTGGCTTTGTACTCACAATCCTACTGCCTCAGCATCCCTAGTGCTAAGACTTTCATACCCGGCCATGCTATTAGCAACGCCTTCTTTCTTTTTCTCTTTCTTTCCTTCCCTCCTCCCCTTCCCTTCCCCTTCCTTCATTTCTTTCCTTCCTCCCTCTCTTCCCTTCCCCTTCCTTCCTTCCTCCCTCCCTTACCCTTCCTCCCTCCTTTCTCTTCCCCTCCTTTCCTTCCTTCCTTCTTTTATATTATTGTCCCACTGGGTGTACATTGTGACATCATTACAAAGTGCTTACAATATATCTTAGTCAAAGCAACAATTTCATTCAGATATTTATTACTTTATATTTTTATAATTTTATTTAAAAACCTGAAACCTATCTGAAAAAGGTCATCATAGTCCAAGACGCTGTGTGGCCTTCTAACAGTCAAAGCACATGTCCAAAGGAAGTAGCTGACTTCTGAGAAAAAGGTCCAGGAATCTGTGATTCCTCCTTGCTGGGAAATGACTTACCATCTTTCCTAAAATTGAGTCAACAGTGTTTTCACAAGTTAAAACTACCTGTAAGAAACATGTGAAATAGATATTACCAAAACTATTGATAAGGATTATGTAGTTATATAAAGAAAAGTGGCAAAAACTGTTCTAGAACCACCTGTCCATGACAGAACAAATAAACTTGAGATGTCAGTGAACTCTAACCAAGAGACACTGAGCTCTGAGACCAGAGCCTGTGACCATTCTGGAACCTTGAACACACTCAAGATTTGGTGTCTAAACTGTGATTCTTTTTCCATCTTGAAAATCCCAAGTATTAATAGGTCATAGGAATAGGTAAAGATAACTTAAAAGGGTAGTCAAGAAAGAAAATGAAAAGGG